CGCGCACGCCCAAGCCCACCGTGCCGCCCCTGACCCCCGAGCAGTACGAGCTGTACATGTACCGCGAGGTGGACACGCTCGAGCTGACGCGCCAGGTCAAGGAGAAGCTCGCCAAGAACGGGATATGCCAGAGGATCTTCGGGGAGAAGGTGACGGCGGTGGGGAGGGGACCCACGGCGCCCGAGGAGGGAGGTCCGTCTGGCAGGAGATTGTGGGAGAAGCAGGATTCCAACCCAAGCAAGCCTGCGTGACCCCAGAGCCCAAGCGCTTTTTCCTGTATCCAGCTGTCCCTGGGCCCTAGGGGAAGAAGGGCCATGGCAAGGCTGGCCTTCTGTCCTGTGGTTGTTAAAACAGCCAAAGGCTTCCATCCTGGCCCATAAATAGCCACTTACCTCCCCTCCTCCAGGGCCCTCCAGACCTCCTGTGGTCCAGCCACTAAAGGGTTAAGGCATCACCCAGCCAGGAGTCTCAAGTGTGCCCTGATCGGTTGGCGCCACTGCAGTATCAGTTTTAAGTGTCACATCTGCCCATAGCAGAGGAGCAGGCAAAGGATCAGGCAAGCTCAGAGGAGGGAAAAGTGACTAAAGTGGGTGACACAGGAAAGCTTCCTGGAGGAGGAGGCACTTGAACAGTCTTAAAGGCTGGGTAGAATTTTTACATGCAGGGATTTCAGGAATGGCAGTGAAGGTGACAGGCACCTGGGATATGAAGAACAAATGTGGGGTCTTGTGGGGAGGGGAGGGCCGGGCCAGTGTCCCAGGGGCCTGCTGACCTAACCTGCCTGCCCCACCCATCTGTAGGTGCTGGGCCTGTCACAGGGCAGTGTGAGCGACATGCTGTCCCGGCCAAAGCCCTGGAGCAAGCTGACACAGAAGGGGCGGGAGCCCTTCATCCGCATGCAGCTGTGGCTCTCGGACCAGCTCGGCCAGGCTGTGGGCCAGCAGCCCAGCGCCTCCCAGGGTGAGTGTTGGTGGGCCCTCCCAAGGGACACGGCAGCCCCCAGAGCCATGGAGAGCCCTCACTCTTCCTGTCTGAGCAGTGGCGTGAGTGTCTGGCTTTTCTGCCCACATCTGCCCTGGCCCTAGTCCTGGCCACCATTACTGCTTCCCTGGAAGCCTGTAGGGTGCGCCTGGCTGGTCTCCCTGCTCCCCTTTCATCTTCCTCCAACCAGAGGGAGGCTTCTAAATCGCATGTTGATGCATTAAGCCTGGATTTTAAACCTCTAGGTGGCACCAGGTGCCTACAGCAGGTGGACAAAATATTTTGCATGGGGAGCCCCACCCTCCCGTCTCATGTCTGTAATCACTAATTGATCCCAGATCTTTTCCCCAAAGAGCCAGCATGCAGCCTTAGAATCCTTCTTTGTTTTAAGTGTCACATCTGCCCATAGCAGAGGAGCAGGCAAAGGATCAGGCAAGCTCAGAGGAGGGAAAAGTGACTAAAGTGGGTGACACAGGAAAGCTTCCTGGAGGAGGAGGCACTTGAACAGTCTTAAAGGCTGGGTAGAATTTTTACATGCAGGGATTTCAGGAATGGCAGTGAAGGTGACAGGCACCTGGGATATGAAGAACAAATGTGGGGTCTTGTGGGGAGGGGAGGGCCGGGCCAGTGTCCCAGGGGCCTGCTGACCTACCCTGCCTGCCCCACCCATCTGTAGGTGCTGGGCCTGTCACAGGGCAGTGTGAGCGACATGCTGTCCCGGCCAAAGCCCTGGAGCAAGCTGACACAGAAGGGGCGGGAGCCCTTCATCCGCATGCAGCTGTGGCTCTCGGACCAGCTCGGCCAGGCTGTGGGCCAGCAGCCCAGCGCCTCCCAGGGTGAGTGTTGGTGGGCCCTCCCAAGGGACACGGCAGCCCCCAGAGCCATGGAGAGCCCTCACTCTTCCTGTCTGAGCAGTGGCGTGAGTGTCTGGCTTTTCTGCCCACATCTGCCCTGGCCCTAGTCCTGGCCACCATTACTGCTTCCCTGGAAGCCTGTAGGGTGCGCCTGGCTGGTCTCCCTGCTCCCCTTTCATCTTCCTCCAACCAGAGGGAGGCTTCTAAATCGCATGTTGATGCATTAAGCCTGGATTTTAAACCTCTAGGTGGCACCAGGTGCCTATAGCAGGTGGACAAAATATTTTGCATGGGGAGCCCCACCCTCCCGTCTCATGTCTGTAATCACTAATTGATCCCAGATCTTTTTCCCAAAGAGCCAGCATGCAGCCTTAGAATCCTTCTTTGTTTGGTTTTTTTGTTTTTTGGGTTTTTTTTTTTTTTGGTGGCTGAACAGTACAGAATCTGAACCTTTGACCTTATTGTTACACTGCGCTCTAACCAACTGAGCTAAATGGCCAGCCCAGAATCCTTCTAAACGCAGGATTTCTGGCAGCTGTTACCCACCCATTAATGATGAGCTCAAGCAGGGGGGAGTCTGAGCTTTGTTGGGATGAGGAACAGGCTTAGAGCATTGCCCAAAGTCACAGAGCAGAGGCAGGGTCACTCTCTTCCCCTGTGATGACCACTGGGCAGAATCTATCAGGGCCCTGGTGAGGTGCGCACCCAACCCCCACATGGGGATAGGGGCACATGGCTACAGGACAGGATATCTGACTTGCGCACTGAGACCGGAGAAGGGCAAAGACAAAGAGAGGCCAGGCTCTGAGTCCGAGGACCTGAGCCCAGTCTCAGTTTCCCCATCTGCAAAGTGGGGATGGGTCAAGATCTCAGGTTCACAGAAATGAACCAGATCAGCAGCACACCTGTCAACAGGAATACAGACCAGAAACAGTGTCAAGCGACAAAAGCCTAAGTCCTGGGTGCTAGTGTTTACTTTGGAGGTTAACACCCGCAGGAGAAGACAGCAGGCTGTTGTAGTCTTACGGCTACAAGCCTACACGTTAAATGTAAAAAGGAGCCAGCAGTCTGGGGAGAAGGGCTGCTCTGGGCAGGGAAGGGAAGAGACAGGGAGGGGAAGACTTTGGCTGTATGTGCTCTTTTTTTATTTTTTTTAAACAGGAAGGGAGATTTGAAGTGACTAGGGCAAAGTGTTGGCATCTGTTAAGGTGATGGGTCTGGGGAGAGGAGGAGAGAACTTATATTTTCTTTTCTATATATTTCTATATCTTTGAAATATTTTATAGTTTTTTTAATTTAAAAACCCTGCTCCATGAGATTGTCATGAGGATTAAGTGCAGCTGTTCTGATGGCAGCTGCCGTTGACCGCATCCAGTGCTCAGTGGTTAAAGTGCTCTGTCCTTTAATCTCAACTGGAGGGGCTGTTCGTGGTTCCCATTTTACAGATGAGGAAATCAAGGGTCAGAGTAATGCAGGGACTTGCCCAAGGCTGCAGACCAGGTAGTGGCAGAGCTGGGATTAGCACGTGGGGCTGTTAGCCATTAGGCCCCCCTGGTTTATAGGACCCCCCAAAAGTGCCTACCCCAGAGCCTACCTGTGAAGGATTTCCATCCTTTTTTGTTTTGCTGTATTGTGTTGTATTTCAATTAGTCTTTTGTTTTGTTTTGTTTGTTTTTTGTTTGTTTTTTGATGGCTGGCCGGTATGGGGATGTGAATCCCTGACCTTGGATTCAAGGCTACACTCTAACCAACTGAGCTAACTGAACAGCTAGTTCATTTTTTTTAAGTGTACAATTCAGTGGCATTTAGTACATACACAGTGCTGTTCAGCCATAACCACTATGTAATCCCAGAACATTTTCACCAACTGGCTGGCTGGTTAGCTCAGTTGGTTAGAGCGCAGCCTTGTAACACCAAGGTCATGGGTTCAGATCCCTGAACCAGCCAGCTGCCAAAAAAAAAGTCATTTCTACCACACTAGAAAGAAAGCCCGTACCCATTAGCAGTCACTCCCATCCTTCCTTCCCTCTAGCCTCTGGCAACCACTAATGTGCTTTCTATGGGTTTGCCTATTCTGAACATTTCGATATGTGGCCTTTCGTGTCCAGCTTCTTTCACTTGGCATCATGTTTTCAAGGTTCATCCAGGTTATAACATGTGTCAGTGCCTCATTCCTTTTTAGGGCTGAGTGAGATTCCATTCTATGGATAGACCACCTTTTGGCTATTTTGAATAATGCTGCTATGAACATTCATGTACACATTTTTGTTTGAACACCTATTTTCAGTTCTTTTGGACATATATCTAGGAGTACAATTACTAGGTCATATGGTAATTCAATGTTTGACTTATTGAGGAGTTTCTAAAGGGTTCCTGTTTCTCCACATCCTCACCGACCCTTATTATTTTCCATTTTATAATTCTAGCATCCTAGTGGGTGTGAAGTGGTCTCACTGTAGTTTTGATTTGCATTTCTCCTACATCTAATTGGGTTTTTAAAAATTTTGTGATCGTGGGAGGATTTGAGTACAGGTAGGATAGAGCTGAGCAAAGATCAAGAATGGTGTTCCTGGTGGAAAGAACAGCAAAGCGAAGCTGGGAGGCAGGACCACACACAGCATGCAAAGGGCTGTAAGTGATGCCTTGTCCCCTGCTGTCCTGCAGAACAGGAAGCCAGGCCCCAGGTTCATGGAATCAGGGTCTAGAGGTGGCAGAGAGGTGAGCTGCAGCTGCTGATCCACCCTTCACAGCCACCACTTGTGCACAGCCTGGGGGCAGGAGACAGGATCCGTTGCCCACAAGATCCCACACAGTGTGGCTTGGGGTGGGGGGTCTGGACCCGTCCCAGCCCCACTTTTGTCCATGTCCCCTCTACACGGCCACTGGGGAGGGCAGGGACTAGTACTGGAGCCCCTACCCTGCAGGGAGTTGGGGGTGAGCTGGATGCCAGGGGAGGGTTACAAAGAGTGCCGACCCCTCCCCATGCCAGCTGCCTGCCTGCCTGCCACAGATCCCCGGGTAATTAACCAGACTCATTAGTGATGCCCGCAGTAGCTGGCATCAGTATTCCAGGCACTTCTGTCTGAAGCTGCTCAGAATTCTCAAGCAGTCAAAGAAGCCCTGTTTCCTACATGCTCTCTTCCCTGTCTCTTTTCTCCCATCTCTATTTCTCTCTCTGACTGCCCCCCTTCTCCCTTTGCTGTCTTTCTCACTGTCTCTCTTTGTTCTACCTCTCTCTCTGCTTCCATCTCTCTCTTTTTCTCTCTCTCCCACCGTCTCTCTTACTATCATGACCAACTGTTCAGTTTGCTTGGGTCAGAGGGGTTTCCCAGGACATGGGACTTGCTGTATTAAACCCAGGAAAGTCCTGGGCAAATTGGGACCAGTTGGTCACCCTGCCTTCTCACTGCCCCCTGCAGCCCACAGCCCAGGCAATGGGACCCAGCCTCGCCCTGTACTGCCTCCTGTTCCAGCCAACCTCATTGTTCACATCCGACCTCCCAGCCCTTTAGTTAGTGTACTCCTCCTGATACAGATGGTTTCTAAATTTCTTTCAATTATTTTGTCAAAAGCAGTTCTCAAAGTCAGAGTAGTCAGAACTGCCTGCATTCTGCCTGGGGGAGTGGGGCAGAGAGGTGTGGGGGGGTCCTTTCCTGCTCCTCATCTGGGTTTATCTCCAGCTCCTCATCCCATTCCCTCTGGCTGAAAATCTGGCCCTTTAGATAGGGATGTGGGTACAGATGGTTTTCCAACAGGCAGATGCCTTCAAAGAGCCTTGATTCCCCTCCATCTGACCTCCAGCCCCTCTCCTGCTGCTGGTAGTGAGTGGACACAGAAAACAGCTTTGCACTTTCCCAGGTTTGGACTCCCCACCTGCTGCATCTTTGCTGGTGACAGTGAGGGTAGGACATGTCCCTGTCAGCTCCAACATCATACGGATGCCCCCTGGATGGCCAAGATGGACTCTGTTGGGGGTCGGGGAAGACAGTAGAGTTTGCAAGACCCTAGACATGGGCTACCAGCCACACAGGGCTTTGATGCTACTATTCAGAATTTGGGGGTTTCACCTGTACCTTTCAGGAGCACTCAGGGGTCCTGGCCAAAATTTGCTCACCCGGAGAGGTCTGCTGAGCACCTCCTACATCCCCAGGCTCTGGAGACTCACCCATGACTAACATCTGGTCCTTGTCTCATAGGGACTCATAGTTGGAATGAGAGGACAGTGATGGGCATAAGCAGACCTGAGTTCAAGTTCTGGCTTTGCCACTAGTCGCCGTGTGACTTCAGACACATTGCCTAACCTCTCTGAGCCTATAAAATGGGATGATGTAGTACTTACCTCTTAGAGGTGTTGTGAGGGTCGCTTGAGATCATGGGCGTAAAGCACATAGCACTATGCTAGGCATGTAGTAAGTGCTTAATAAAAGGAAGCTTTATTAATTATCATCATCATCCTCATCACCATCATCATTGTTGTCATATGGCCCAAGCAAAAAATTATAGTGAAGTGTGACAATGTGTGGTCAAGGTGCTATTAGATCCCAAAAGTGCACTTCGGGGAAGGGACATTTGGGACTGGGTTTTGAAGGCTGCATAGAAGTTCAAAGTTAGAGGGAAGTCCTTCAAGGTGACAAGACTAGCCTGAGCAAAGACATGGGGTTTAGAAGAGCCTAGGATGTTTGTAGAGGGGAGTGAGGGGGACTGTATTTAGCTTCAAGTCTGTGGGGTAGGCAGGGACAAGAAAATCTAGAGCCTTAATAACCAGGATAAAGAGGTAGACATTTGTTGTGCAAGGGGCAGTGGGGAGCCATTGACAATTCTGGAGCATGGGAGTGATCCGATAGATCCACTCGCCTTCCACAGAGAAGGAAAGAACCCATCCCGGGCTCAGGCTGTCCCTTCTGGAAGCAAAGCCACTGCTCCCTTCACTTCTTAGCTGTCACACAGTTTTATGTTTATTTTAACAAATTTCCAGCATGTGGCAGTTAAATGCCTCAAGGAAGAAGCACCTTCTTTTAATTTGCTGGGATCAGATGTGGCCAATGCTGACCTTCCTAGATCCCACCACCACCATGCTTCCCACACTATTAGGGGTGTCTCCTGCCCTCACTGGTTTGTCAGGAGGCTCAGCTCATACCAGGAAGCCCTGTGAGTGACTGACACTTCAGGAGGTGGGCTAAGCACTTGACCCACATTATTTCACAGAGTTCCCTTGATGGCCCCAAGTAGGGTTGGTGCAAGTGCAGTGCTATGTGTAGTGCTACTTATTTTATGGCCCCACTTAACAGATGCAAAGACTGAGGCTTGGCAAAGTCATCCCGCCCAAGATTGCAAGCCCCAAATATCTTCCAAATGGTTTTTCTAACATATATTCACAAAAAAAATGTCTCCTGACAAATGAAAAATATGGTCTAAAAAACTAGCTTTTTCTAAGTGCCAGTGTGCTATGGACATCTTTCACTACGTTACTTTTTATTTTGGCAGGATGGTCCACTGCAGAAATTCACTATATTTTATTTAGCTAACCTCCCATGGTTGAACTTGTAGATCATTGCTGACTTCTTTTTTTGTTATTAACTTCTCATTTTGGTGTAATTTCTAATTAACAGAAGAGTTGAAACAATAAAACAAGAAACTCCCTATACGCTACACCCAGATTCACCAATTATTAATTTTGCAACACTGTGCTCTTTCTCTCCCATTTGAGGAATTAGCTGACAACATTGTGGCCTTTCCCCCTAAATACTCCAGCAAGTTTTTCTCAAGAAGTTCTACAGTGATACAGTACTGTTACCTAACTTACCATGTATATTCAAGTTTCTTCAGTTGCCCCAATAACATGCTTTATCTATGCTTTATAGTAAGTTATAGAGCCATAATTTATAATTATGTAAAAATAAATTACATATATAAAGTGTTTTCCTGCACAGGATCAGATTCAGGATCCCTTGTTGTATTTAGTGGTCGTGTTTCAATTTGGACAGTTCCTCTTCCTGTCTTTGTTTTCCAGTTTTGACATCTTTGAGGATTAGAGGCCAGTTAGAGACTGTCTCAGTTTGGGTTCGCCTGATCCTCCTTCATGATTAAATTCAGGCTGTGGCCTTTTGGTGGGAATATCACAGAAGTGACAGTTTCCTCCCCAGTACATCATATCAGGAGGCACAGACTGTTGATTTGCCCTGTGATGGTGATGTTAACTTTGATCACTTGGTTAAAGTGATGTCTACCAGGTATCTCTCCTTAAAGTGACCATTTTCCCCTTTGTAACTAGTAAGGATTTTGTGGGGAGATACTTGGAGACATTATAAATATCCTATTCCTCCTCAAACTTTCATACACTAGTTTTAGCACCCAGGATGGTCCCTTCCTTGGATCTTACTGTGGTGGTTGTAGAACGGGTTGTTGCCAACTCCTGGCTATAAGAAGCAAGTCTGCTCAGACTGTGTGTGTCCATGCCAGATTGCAGTAACCACCGTATCTGTCTCTCTGTGGCCCACAGCCAGTCCCACTGAGCCAAGGTCCTCACCATCTCCACCCCCCAGCCCCATGGAGCCTGAGAAGAGCTCCCAGGAGCCCCTGAGCCTGTCCCTGGAAAGCAGCAAGGAAAACCAGCAGCCAGAGGGCCGTTCAGGCTCCTCACTGGGCGGGAAGATGTACTCAAGCAGCCAGGCCACAGGAGGCATCCAGGAGATTGTGGCCATGTCCCCCGAGCTGGACACATACTCCATCACGAAGAGGGTCAAGGAGGTCCTCACAGACAATAACCTAGGTACACGGTGGCAGGAATTGGGGATGCTGCCTCCCATCCTGGTTGGCTCCCACTTGCCTTTTGCAAAGTGCCCATGGTGAGATCCCAGAGCCCTGGGGTGCAGCCTGGAGGTGCTGCTCAGCCCTGGGACACTCAGGACCCTGCGTGTGCATCTGACTGTGACCTGGGTCTGGGATGGGAAAAAGGGAGGTGAATGCACATCTGATGTGACCTGGAATTCTCAGCCCACAGATCTCAAAATGTTTTTCCAGAAGGACTTAGAGAGTCCCAGTCACTGGGAGTCTCCTGCATGATCCTCATCCAGTGCTGAAATCCTTGCCCTCTGGAGGCACAGTGGAGAAATGTCTTCTAGGGCTCTTTCCCTTTTGAAATCACAAACTCCTCTGGGTCTTAGATGAAGGTTATGCCCCCCTCCCAGAGAGATGCATGCAAATCCCAAGTTTTTCACTACTGTTTCTATTATAAAAATAAGACATATTCATTGCTTTAAAATAGCAAATAGTATAGAAAAGAAATAAGTTTTAAAGTAAGTAAGTAAATAAATAAATAAATACCCCCCAGCCTCTCAATCACACTCTAGTCTTTATGTATCTTTGACACTTTCTGAACACATACAAGAATATATATACACATAATTTCTTCTCTTCTTTTTTGATATGGACAAAATTATAATACGTATTGTCTTGCAGTTTTCTTTTGCAAAATGCACACTGTTTTGTGGATGCCCTTCCACATTAGATTGATCATATCACCTGCATTCATTTTCACTGTTATGAAGTGTTTGGGGCCATGGATGTGCCAGAGGTTTTCACCCAACTTATGGGCATTTTGATTGTTTCCAATTTCCTGCTACCTCTAAAAATAGGTCTGTGTACATCTTTGCGCCCTCGGGCAAGTAGAGCTCTAGGATGAATCCCTGGCAGTGGAATTGCTGGATCAGAGGATGTGCACATTTAAAATTTTGATAGAATCTGTCATATTATCCTCTAACAAGATGATACAAGTTTGTACACATGAAGTTTGCAGACTATTTCAAGGATCTCCAAAGGAGTAAAGAAACTCTTAAATTGAAAATGCATTTTTGTTGGTTGTCTAGTCCCATCCCCCCAAGTCTCTTCCGCAGAAAGGTCCCCGTCAGATTCACACAGGGGTGGGTTCTCCTATGTCTCTGGCCTTCCCTTCTGAGTCAGTAGAAATAGCCCTTGGGCTCTCCCCAATGTCTGTGGTCTGCTCCTTGTCTCTCCTGGGAGTGGGTTTCTCTGCCCAGCCTGGGGTAACAGGCTGCCCTCCTCCCCTGTTCCCAGGGCAGCGGCTATTTGGGGAGAGCATCCTGGGCCTGACACAGGGCTCCGTGTCTGACCTGCTGTCTCGGCCCAAACCCTGGCACAAGCTGAGCCTGAAGGGGCGGGAGCCTTTTGTCCGCATGCAGCTGTGGCTCAATGACCCCAATAACGTGGAGAAGCTGAGGGACATGAAGAAGCTGGAAAAGAAAGGTAAGACTTGGGCGGGGAGTGGGTCCCAGCGCTGGTACTCTGGGTCTGGCCTCAGATTTTCCCCTTGGAACCATATCTGGTTGTAACCCAAATAAACCCAGAGCCCCAGTGGTCCAGTCTCAGCCTGGTATGGGCCTGCGTGAAATAGAAGACCCAAAGAACAATGTAATTGAAAAGAATTAAAGTATTTACCACATCTCCCATGAAAATCCAATACCCCATCTCTCTTGGTATCCTTTCACACACCCATAGCCACTCCAAGGTCTTTTACCAACCCCAACTGCATATTTCCCAAAACTCTCTCTCTCTCTCCACCTCCAACCCTCCTTCCATTGCCTCCACTACCTACTATATATATCACCCCTTTGCCCATTACCCAGACTGCACAACAAAGAACAGAACTGCAAACAACCCTCCCTTGTGGGGCTGGGCAAGGAGATTGCAAATTCTTACATTGTCTAATATTATCTTATATCCCTGGGAAAATGAACCAGCATTGAGCACCTGCTGTATGTCCAATCTCATGCCATGCATAAGGGATTCATACATCTAAAAAAAGCTCAGAGTCCAGTCGGATGATAAAATATGAGTAGGTGAAAAGTTGTCATCCAGGCCATGAGGGCAGTTCATAAGAGGACCCAGGGTCAAGCCAGGCTGTGAGGAGCACATGGGGCAGGGCCAAGGCTGGGCCATTGTCATCAGACAACTCTGCTGTTGAGAACTTGGCCTGCCACTTCCTGGCTGTGTGACCTTGGACAAGTTACTTCCCCTCTCTGTGCCTCATTCTATTTCATCTTTAAAGTCAATAGCAGGACTAAGTAAGATACAAATACCTTACTTTCCACATTTGAACAATTTGGGGTCAAGAGGCATTATGTAACTAATGGGTTCATTTAAATTAGTGCCTCTCCATACCCACCAAAGACTTCTGCCCATCAAGAGAATGCCGTAGAGCACCTTTTTTCCTGAGTGTCTCCTGTGTGCGAGGCACTTTGCTCAGCCCCTCTGCACATGGTCAACTCTGGGAGCTAACCTTAGAGGTCAAGGCTGCAGAGGCAGGCCTGGCTCTTGGGGCTGATTTTGTCAAGAGAGCATCTCAGCGGAGGGGTTGGGAAGACATGGAAAGAGGAGGGAGGAAGGGCAGAGGGGACAGGGCCATCCCTGGAAAACTGACAGGGGTGGTGATGGCCTCCTCTCAGCCTCCCTCCCTCCCCTGCCCCAGCCTACCTGAAACGCAGGTACGGCCTCATCAGCACCGGTTCGGATAGCGAGTCCCCGGCCACCCGCTCCGAGTGCCCCAGCCCCTGCCTGCAGCCCCAGGACCTAAGCCTTCTGCAAATCAAGAAGCCCCGGGTGGTGCTGGCACCCGAGGAGAAGGAGGCACTGAGGAAAGCCTACCAGCTGGAGCCCTACCCCTCCCAGCAGACCATCGAGCTTCTCTCCTTCCAGCTCAACCTCAAGACCAACACTGTCATCAACTGGTTCCACAACTACAGGTGGGGCTACAGAGGTTACACCCCCTTCTCCCCTCCGAGGCCAAGAGGCATGACCTCCCCTCCTGGCATGACCTCTGGGAGATGGGGGACCATAGCGCATAGGGTTTTAGATTTAAGACCTAAGTAAACCTGGTTCCACAACTACAGGTGGGGCTACAGAGGTTACACCCCCTTCTCCCCTCCGAGGCCAAGAAGGAACCTGGCATGACCTCTGGGAGATGGGGGACCATAGCGCATAGGGTTTTAGATTTAAGACCTAAGTAAACCTGGAGTAAAGCCCAGCTCTGTCACTTCCTGCTGTGGAACCCTGGGCAAGTCACTTCACTTCTCTGAGCCTCAGTCTTCTAACCTATAAAATGGGGACAATAATGGATCAACTCATATGGTTGTCCAGAGGATTTGATGGCCTAACATATTTACATAAAATGCCTGGCACATAGTATGTGGTAGGTATTGACGTTATTATTGTTACTATTTTTATCACTTCACCCAGCTTGCTCTGCATTTGCCTCTGAAACAGCACAGGGAATGGTATATGGGGCACAGGCCTGAGGAACCCTAAGTACCCACTGAGCTCATGCTGGAGCCCTGACTGGGGGCTCTTGGCCCTCTAACTCCCAACGCCAAAGGAAACCCTCTGAGAACCCTCTTTGGGATCCCCCACCTCGGGGAGTGGGTGGTTCCTGCTTCTATGGCTGCCTCTTCCCACAGCCCTTCCCACTTGCCGATCCTTAGTCTTGGGAGTCACTGGCCTGCAGTGGCCTGGGCTTCCTGGGAGTCTAGTCCCAGGGCTGGCTCTGAGGAGACTGCAGAGGGCCTCCTGAGGACAGCTGAGGAGACCCCTGTGGAGAAGGCTTTTTGGGGTTTTCAGGAAACATCTCTGAGGCGCCCCTGCCAAGCTTCCCAAGCAGGAAATGTCTGTGGTGCCCCTGTGGCACCAGAGAGGAAAGTCCATCCGCCCATTCCAGGGGCAGAGAGGTCTTGTGATCCCCAGGGGAGGAGGGGAAGGAGGAAACTGATGGGGTGGAGCACTCAGAATCTCCTCTCTCCTCAGTATGGGCACCACACAGACCTAAGCTCAAGCCCCACCTCGGCTGTGTGGCCTTAGGCAAGTCCCTTTACCTCTCTGAGTCCCCTCCTTACTTTTCAGCTGAGGAACCTAATACCTACCCCACGTGCTTGATTGTGGATCAACTGAAATAACTTTGGGTGTAAACACATTGTCAAATATTGCTTATTATCTGGCTCAGACCAGAGCCTGCAAAACAGTGAATAACTTAGGTCCTTATAACCTTCTCACCTCCTCCTTCCCTCCCTGGGTGATATGGAGATGTCTTCTCCCCTCTGAGTCCCCATAAGAACTGAGCACTCCATTATTACCCAACTTATTTATTCAACAAATATTTACCTGGCCGGCTGGTTAGCTAACTTGGTTAGAGCATGGCGTTGGTAACACCAAGGTCAAGGGTTTGGATCCTAGCACCAGGCAGCTGCAAAAAAAATAATAAAAATAAAAAGTGACCATGTATTAACAGTGAGCCAGAGGGGTCTGGAAATACAGGGGTTCAAAGCCATCATCTCTGATCCTAAAGAGCTTACAGTCATGAACGAGATCATTTCCCTACAACCAAATAAGGACTATAGAGCAGGAAGGAACAGGGGGCTGACAGAAAAGAGAATTCTACCTGGGGAAGACTGTATATTAGAGGTGGTATTTGAGCTGGGTTTTGAACAATGAATAGGAGTTTGCACCAAAGAGCAGAGAGAATACTACTCCCAAAAGAAACAACTCTCAAAGAGTTAGAATTACAGAACACATTATTTATTAGGTAAATGTTTATTGAGCACCTACTCTGTATGAGGCACTGCAGAGGACCAGACAAAGTTCCTGCTCTTAGTCTTTCGGACTAGCGGGTACTTATGTTAATATATTATTACAAACTGCAACGAGCTCTGGGAAAGGTGAACAATAGGATATTTTGAGAAAAAAATAGCAGGGAGGTCCTGCTTTAGATTTAGGTGTCAGAAATTGGGGGGGGGGGACTAATTTATACTGAGGTGTGGATGACTGTTGGCCTCACATTTATATTTAATCTATGGTTTGGAAGTTCTAATGATGGAGCTTTAGACATTGAACCATCCTAAAGCCCCCTCAAATCCCAACTCAGGGGAAACCACAAGGGCTCCGCATGGTCTCAGCAGCTCTTCCCTCTGGAGGGGGTGAGGGAGATGGGCAAGGTCACCTTTGTGGAAGAACTGGGGACCAAGCAGGGGGATGGCAGTGGAGCAGATGACCAGATGGTGGGCCAGATCACAGTTCCTGGATCCTGGGATGGGGCCCCACCCCACCCCCTGGGCAGAGGAGGGTACAGACTGCTGGGTTCAGAGCCCAACTCCACTCTTGCTGGCTCTGGGACCATGGCTACCCCTGTGCCCTTCCCAGGCTGGTCTCCATTATCAATGGGACTCAGACTAGTATCCTCCTCATGAGGTTTTTATGAAAAATAAATGAAATAAACTGCAAAAAAGTGCTTAGTCCAGTGCTGGGCATATGACAAGCACCCATTATTATTATGTTTGTAACTACAATTTATAATTGTTAGTATTATTTATTAATAAAATGTAACTTATTAACATAAATGGGCAGAGAGCTACAGCACTGAAGGTTCTGAGGGGACCGCTGTTGCTCTCTTACCTTGGACAAGTCATTTAAAATCTCTGGACCTCATTTACTATAGGAAAATAATTAATGGAGTTAGACCCATTCCTGACCCTTCCTGCTCTAAAATATAATTCCTGAGTCTAAGTTTCCCTCCGACAGCAGGGGGGCCATTGATGTAAAGAGGGAATGGGTTCTGGAATGGAATTCAGGGTACCCAGGTTCTGATCCCAGCTCTGCCGCTGTTTGCCATGGCAGCGTGGGAAGTCACTCTCCATGCCTCAGTTTCTCCTTCTGGGCTGATGTCTAAGAGTCCCTTCAGGAAAGAAGCAGGGAATTGGTCCCACAAAATAAATCAGGGTTTGACTTTGAGAAGTATTCTAGAATGGTACTGTCCAATAAAAATATATGAGCCACATATGTGATTTTAAATTTCTGAGTAGCCACATCAAAAAAATACAATAAAAAGAAACAGATGGAATTAATCATAAAATTATGTTTCATTTAGCCCAATATATCTAAATATAACCATTTCAACATGTAATCAATATAAAAACGTTATTAATGAGATCTTTTACATCTGATTTCTTGTAGTAAGCCTAAGATCTGTTGTGTATTTTATTTACCCTACAGCACATCTTAATTTGGACTAGCCACATCTCAAGTGCTCAAGAGCTATATGTGGCCAGTGGCTAATGTGCTGTATAGTGCAGGTCTAGATCATGAGCTTTGGAATCCAACAGTCTGGAGTTCAAGTCCTGACTCTGCCACTTATTAGCTGTGTGACCTGGAGCAAGTCACTCAACATCTCTGAGCCTCCTATCCTCCCCTGTGAAGAGGGGATAAAAACAGCACCCACCTTGTAGAGTTAAAAGGACTTAATATTTAATAAGATGATACAAATAAGAGGCTTAGTGCCTGATGAACCCCAGGGCAGTGGGCAGGATGAAGAGGGGATAAAAACAGCACCCACCTTGTAGAGTTAAAAGGACTTAATATTTAATAAGACGATACAAATAAGAGGCTTAGTGCCTGATGAACCCCAGGGCAGTGGGCAGGATCCCAATGCTGCTGATGTGGATTGAATCTGGGGTTAGTGGGGCCCCCTGTCCAGCCCCAGGCTTACCACCATCTCTGCCCCAGGTCCCGGATGCGCCGGGAGATGTTGGTGGAAGGGACCCAGGATGAGCCAGACCTCGACACAGGTGGGGGTCCTGGTGTCCTACCGCCAGGCCACTCCCACCTGGACCCCACCCCGCAGAACCCTGACTCTGAGGCTGAGGACCAGAAGCCTCCCGTGAAGGAACTGAAGCTTCAGGAGGGCTCTGAAGAGAGCAACGCACCCCTGACTGCCCAGGACAAGGCCCAAGTGAGGATTAAGCAGGAACAGGCTGAGGAGGACACTGAGGAAGAGGTGGGCAGCCAGACCCAGGACTTAGGGGAGCTGGACAAAGACCATAGTCCCCCCAAAGAGGAGCATCCTGACCTTCCGGGTAATGACAGACTCCCAAAAGTGGCCCCAGAGCCCCTCCTTACAGGTGGGACCACTCCAGACTGCCCCTTGTTACATCCCCCCCAGGAGAGTGAGGCCAGGGAGCGGCTTCACCTGGACCCTCTAAGTTTTAAGTCTGCCTCGGAGTCCTCACGCTGCAGCCTAGAGGTGTCGCTGAACTCACCCTCTGCTGCCTCCTCACCAGGCCTCATGATGTCTGTGTCGCCCATCCCTTCCTCCTCAGCTCCCATCTCCCCATCCCCACCTGGCGCCCCCCCTGCCAAAGTGCCGAGTGCCAGCCCCACTGCTGACATGGCTGGGGCCTTGCACCCCAGCACCAAGGTGAACCCCAACTTGCAACGGCGGCACGAGAAGATGGCCAACCTGAATAGCATCATCTACCGACTAGAGAGGGCTGCCAATAGGGAGGAGGCCCTTGAGTGGGAGTTCTGAAGGTGGGGGGGGGGCAAGGGGACAAGTGACATCCCTGGTGGCCACTTTCCTTCTCTCTCTCACTCTCTTGGATGGGGTGGTAGGAAGGGAAGAACTCAACCATCAAAATGTGGACAGCAATGTTATGCCATTTACATGTTTTGTTGTAATCCTAGTTGTGTGAAATTGTGAGTGAGCAGGTGGGGCAAGTGCCATTGCCTCCTCTTTTTGGCACCCGTTGCCCCAGGAATCCTGCTCCTCTTGTCCACCCTGACCCCTCTGCAGGAGGCAGAAGCAAAATGCGCCACATTTTCACCTGAAAACTCCAAACTCTTTTAGAAAAATAAATAAATATTTATAGAACTCTTTTAGATATTTTAATAAAGGATCCTTCGGAATTTATTCCCAGCTGATGCTGTTTTGATATTACAGAGAGTTATAAAATCAGGATGCTGTCACAACTGTTGCGAAGTATACACTGAAGTTGTGTCATTTTTGCCACTAGATGAGATTAAAAGAAGACAATTGTTCAAAGCCATCTCAAAACATTATAAGACTGACCAAAATTTAGATAACCTCTGAACTGCGGTTTTTTTCCCACGTCTGTCTGTGAGACACAGTGCATTGCTACTGCCCTTCCAGAACCATACTGAAAAGAGAAAGTCCAAAAGACTCTAAACAAAAACCTCGATGCCGTTGAGGATGTGTTTCATTCTGGTGGTCTGTTTGCAACCTTGATAACACAGAATGTCCTGTGCCGTTGTAAGTGTTGTAGAGATGTGGGCTGTGACCTGACTGTCCCCTACGAGGTGTAGCATGGTACAAGACAGGATGCTGACACTCCCTCTAGTGGGCCACGGAGGTCAGACATCCATCTTGTCCGTCTGCAGACAAGGTGTATTTCCAGATCCTCTGGAAAGCCAGGCATGAAGACAGGTGCTGGGGGCGGCACTTGAGCCAGAGTGACCCCATTCCCCAACCTGAATCATGGCCACAACCAAGGAAGCTTCCCCACTAGTATGAGAGGAGGCATCGCAGAGCAAGACTGTGGCCGCTATCTTCCCCTCCTTGTGTCTTCAGAAGGTGACAGTGTTGGTCATCCCACAAGTACTGAAGCTTAGCAACCAGCGCCAAAAAGTAGATGCATCAAACTAGGACCCCAACTCCCCTTCTTGCCATCTCCTCTCTCAAGTTGACCCTGGTGCTGTTTCCGGAAGGCATCTGCAGCTCCAAGTCCCTGCAGAACTCCGGAAGGCCAAGTTCGTTGCAGGATGTCTACTGTTTCCCAATCTCCAAGGTCACCCTCCTCTACCTTCCAATGCATGACCTGTTGGGGAGCAAAGACTCAACCCCCCAATGCAGAGGAACCTTTTCTCCAGCATCTTCATCACAGTTTCTAAGGAGTTTCCAATTTGGATGGAATGGTCACCATATTAGTTGTTGAATCTCTCTTGTTTTTATTTCTTTTGCTTTTTCAGACTCTGTGGGAAGGCTGAATTGGGGGCCACCCAGAATGACAATAAAAAAATGACCATAATCGGTACCAATCCAATTTCAGGGGGAGAGATGGCCGATGGAGATTTCAAGGATGTGGCGAGTATTTTGAAACTGCATGGGCAAAACCCAGTGACCAGGAGGGGACAAATAAGGACTGTTCCAGAAATCCCAGCTCTCAAGCACCCAGCCCAGACTGCAGTCTCCACACCCAACAGTCAACAACAACACAAACCCTGAAGGAAAACCTCCTTTTCCATATACCCAGGCTATGCATTGAAGAGTTTTCCACTGTATACATTTTTATCCAGATGATGGTATTTTTATATTTTGACAATAGGAAACAGTGACCAATTTTCAGAGTAATCAAATCTGGAACAAACGAAACATCTCCTTTTAGCCACCACCGCCCTGTTGCAATTAAGACAACCGTAGGGGACACACCACTTTTTACTGTTGAAACAACACAGCATTGAAATTCAGGCTTACATGCAGACTCCAATTCTTAGAGAACTAAATTAGGCTTTAGTGTGACGGGATTTGATTAAGCACTTAGTATAGTCTTTTGAACACAGAAATCCTGTTGTACTTAAAGCTAGTGGACCCATGAACAACTCTGTCAGGGTCACGTCCTATAACGGTAAAAAAAGAAAAAGAAAAAAACTACACAAAACCGTTTCTATGCGAGATTGATGAACTTTGTTTAAAATTTTAAAAAAAGGAACACGTTCTGTAAACGGACCCATGAACAACTCTGTCAGGGTCACGTCCTATAACGGTAAAAAAAGAAAAAGAAAAAAAACTACACAAAACCGTTTCTATGCGAGATTGATGAACTTTGTTTAAAATTTTAAAAAAGGAACACGTTCTGTAAACAAGTCGCTAAATACAGAATTGTATAATAATTCTGGTGTCCTACTTCTTTGTTCTGGAGTTGGGGGTGTAAATTGGGGGTCAGATCTGGCCCTCAGAGGGGTTTTACAAAATCGTATTTTTACAAACTAATTTTTGAACTGTTTGCCAAAATGAAAATATGGGGGCATGTCATATAAAAATCGCATTTACCAGGTTCTCTTGAAAACCATTAAGCTCTGGCCACACTGGACCCATGTTCCAATGCGACAACAGCCAGCTGACAAGGCACAGGTGCATGATCTGTCTCTGTCTTCTCCTGGACCACCGGCCTGGGCCCTGAGGGCATCTGCGTTGGCGACTGTGCTTTGAGCTCCAGCTGCAGCAAAGGAAGTTAGAAGGTCTAGAATCCATTTTTCCACTCGGTGCAGCAGGGTAGAAGCTGGTTGGACTCTGGGGCCTGCTACTCAAGGTCACACCCTGCCCCCCAAATCAGTGGCCATACCCTAAGGCCAACCAGTTTACAAAGTTGTGCCCACCTTAGTGGAGCATGTGAGCGGTTGGTGCCCCTGCCTTCTTTTTTTTTTAAAAGATGACCGGTAAGGGGATCTTAACCCTTGACTTGGTGTTGTCA